CTCCAAGATGGCTCAACATAGGGCCAACATAGGCCAACTTGGGGCCAACAGACGCCAACATAGGCCCAACATAGGCCCAACCCAGGCCAACATAGGCCAACATAGGCCGCTCAACATGGGCCCACGATGTGCCCAACATACACCACATGGGCCCCACTTGGCCCAACCTAGGGCCAAGATGCGCACCAGATAGCTTAACTTTGCTCAATATAGGCCCCACCAAGGCCAACATAGGCGTGACATACGCCCCACACACCCAAGTGGGCCGGCGCCCGGCTGTTAGGCGTAAGCCTTGAAATATAGCTGTTTATTTATCTTTGAGCCTTGTGGGCTGGGTGCTTACAACAAAATCATGGCCCTCGCATGTCTTGCCTCTGTTCGCGGCACGTTCCCCCACAACTACACGCATCCTGGCTATGTTTGGGCCTTGTTAGCATTGATGGCGAATAGTCACCAGTCTGCCGAGCAGCCGCTGGATGCATCACTCATCTTTGCAATGCGGCCGAGGGAGACCACGACCTCACATGCCCAAGTGGAACAAAATGAAACAACAAAAGGTTCTGGATCTGGTCCGCACTCAGCGTTGGAAGTACTCAGAAGTAGCATTCCCTTGTTTCCGCTAAGGGCACACACATGCAGTACGGCAAGCTGAGCTGAAGGATGCTTTTGGTGGGTTGTGCCGCATCAAGTCAACTCTGCAACGCATTCGCCTCAATGCAGCACTTCCACCAGGAAACGAGGCATGGATTGCGGATGAATTCAAGAATTCCAATTCCATCCATTCTTCCTGAGAAAACCGCTTGTTGAACTCTCTTCACATCGGCTGACCTGCGGGAATCCTCACAGCGCGTTACCCCGATCCGCCGTTTTCCACTTTTTTGCCACGTCACATTCGCAAGGTCCATGTCCTTCGCTTGCGTTCTGGCGAGTTCCTGGGAACAGCTGCGCTGCCGAGGTGAGTCAAGTTGATTGATTGGAGACGCCGGGAGAAACCATGATAAACCTATGTGTTGAATGGAGAATGGATCAATCTGAGGCGTCAAAAGCTGCAGGTTCGTCGGAATAGGTCTTCTGTTCTTCAACTTTAATTTCCTCATTTCAGCCTCAACCAGCGCTATGACCCAAACCACAAAAAAACTCTCTTGCTTGCCCCAAACCGACTGGACACAAATTGTTTATACACTTGGAAAACAAGCGTTAACTTGGTTGCTTGCCGTGCTTCGAAGAACTCTTCCTCTGAGACCCGGCGGAGCTGACGATTGAGCTTGGCCTCCAGGGAGGTGGCCCAAGCTGAAGGGTGCCTTTTGGGTAAATATATGTAGAGATATTCTTTCTTGAATGATCCGTGTTGACGCATGTTGGATCTGAGTTGTCCTTCGATCACGTCGTACACTACTTGTTTTGTTCCCTCCCTTGGATCACTGACATGGAGGCGTAACGTATTGAGGGCAATCAACTGTCTTCTGGATAACGTCGAGTTGTGCAGTGTTGCTTGTATGGGAAGCCCAATTGCCGAGCAAACAAAATTGGCCACCTAGCCTGCACAGCAAAGTGACGCGCCAGCCACCTAGGAGCAACATGCGGAATTGCCCTAAGCATTACATTACATTGAACTCAGGACCAGGGGAGTTGGGCAGGCCAGCAATAGTATCTATTCTGGCTTGTGGGATCCTTTCATGCACGTCACGTGTCATGCAAGTGGACTAAGTGGACCTCTCGACCGCCCTATACATAACACAAACAATAGAACATGCATAGTACAACCTCCATAAGTGGCATGTGGTCCTTGGATGTCCTTGGCATCCGGTGGCTAAGTTGTACAGTACAAAGAAGGCCTTCCGTGAACGAGCCCCCCAGAAGACCCAACGAATCTCAACGAGAAGAACGCCCCACTCCACAGGCTCCAGGGACTTCAATGTCACTTCACTTCTCGTGTCAGTCCGGGAGCTCTTGACAAGATTGAAGAAGTCCGGCAGCGGAAGTGCACAACCCACCAATGTTCAAGCAGAGTGGCCTCACTCCTGTTGACGAAGGTACGCGTAGCATAGTCAAAAGCCATGTCGCCCATGCTTAGGCGTCAATTACAGGCACCAGCTCTTCACGGTACTACAGCACTACAGTACTGGGCAAACTCTTTGTATCTGTCTTTCAGATCGTTGACATGCTGCATGGTAGCGAACCTAATAATGTGTTATAATGTGAAGCAAGCGAAAGTTAGGATGAGCTTGGCTAAGCAGGATTCCAGAATCGCAGCTTGACAGCTTGACTTCCTGCGCATCTTGTATACTGTAGTAGTCCAACTCTTTCAGCTGTCTAGGATGTTTTGCAGCTCATTCTTGGTTTTGGATGAGGTGCACATGCTGGCGTGCTACTGTGCGGTTCATGAATTTGACACACATTGGTCTTAGCTACATACAATCAAGCTTGGCCCAGATCTCCGGCAGTCAGCCGGAAATGCTGCAGGCAAGGCATACAAGTTAGTATGCAAGTTGCAGGTCGTTTCACGAACGGCCGCAACCTAACTAAAGTCCTCTGTATGTCTTCACAGCAGCTTACAAAACGTAAAACCGGTTCTACAAGCGCTTGGACTCCAAGGCCCTAAGTAGGTCACGTTTTAAACATCTGATTGGCAACACCGACCAAAGGAAATTGGAAGCCCAAAGCCCAGCTGCCCAACAGTTGTCAATTTTCAATGGCCTTGGTAGGTACGAGTAGCCAAGAAGACCACCCGTTCAAGGTCTCTCAAACAAAAGCGCATGACTTAACCAATGGCCTTTTCCACCCCAAGCCGTGTCAAGGTGATTCAACACAGCCAGGCGTACCACAATAGCACTAGTGCCCTGTCCAAGCCTTGGTGTGGTCCAGCCATGTCTCACAAAGCACTAGGAACGTTCCATACGCAAGCATCAACACATATCAACACCGTTTGATAGCCAGGTCGCTGCAACAGGGGCGACATGTACCCGACGATCCATTGAACCCGAGGGATGCACCCCAACGCATGACGATGTCGATCTGGGGCACCGGCTTACAAAGTCGCTCTAAATCTTCCAGGCCCTGCACCTGGCATCGATCCCAAACCAATTGGATGCTTGGTTTTCTCTGGAACCTGTCAGATGGAATGAATAGAAATGGCCAGGTGCAGGGATTGTTTTTGAGGATGCCCACTTTTGCTCTAGGGAATGGGTGCACGCTCTAGGGAATGGGTGCAAGCTCAAAGTCTCACCCAAGAGTGTTGAACTGTGAATCATTGAACAGTCTTTGAATAGGACCACCCTGCAGGGCCTTTTGCAATGCCTGCCATACTGATCATACCCCCTCGACAAAAGTTTCATGTTGCCAAGAACATTGACCGCATGGCAACCTTTCCAATGTCCGATCAATGTTCGAAGTGCTTGTGGCCCCACCGTGTTCTGCCTCAAGGCACGTCATACTGACAGGACTTCGGCACCGCTCGGCACGCGAACTGAACTGGCCGGGCAAATCCCAGCCGGTGATTTCAACAACTGTCCTCTATATAAAACAAGGAAGTGTCATGAATTGCACTTCCATGTTTGTCCTAGGGCAGCCTCTCTCCAGCAATCATGGAAATGGACACCGGCTCCACTTCCACCGTCATCTTCCTCTACAAAAAGGGCCTCGTCCACTTCCATGTTTGGGGATCCGAAAAGGCTTGCACGCCTCCAGGTCTGGCATGCTGGATGCTGATGTGAAGGCCTGGGCCAGTCGTGGAAATTCTTGCAACAGCTTGCAACCATCAGGGAAAGCTTGGAGAAAAGATTGTGTTGAAGGCACCCAGACTATGTGTAAGTGGCAATTTCATCAAACAAATCTAGTACTGTAATTGTACAGTAATCTATTAGCAGTTAATTGCACTTGTCGCATATCACATCATATCACTTAGATCTGCAACCATGGCACACTCCCCGGCAACGACGGCACGCTCCCAGGGGCCATCAACGGCAGGGCCCTGCGGCATGGGGGTGCTGTTGCCCATGTCCAACATCCAGCCCCTAGTAGCGTCCTTGCTCCTAGTAGCGATGCCAGGAGCCCCTAGTAGTGCCCTTGCTCTCGTTTGGAATGGGCACCAAGTATAGCAGGCTGCAAGGTTGCTTCACACTTCACCTACTCGAGTTTCCAGTGAGTCACAAGCAGCTCCAGCCACAAAAAAAAAAACACTGTATAAGTACAGGAACTACAAAGTGTCAGCCAGGCATATTCCAAAACGATAATTATATAAGTTCTGAAACAGGCGTCAACAACGCTGCAGCGCCCCTCCCCCCTCGCCTTCTTGCAGACCCTGGCGTCTGGCTGCCTGAATGCAGCGCACCTGACCCGTGGATCCCGTCGCCCACCCACGCCTCGACGGCCCGAACAACGGCCCGACTTCACGCCCGAACAGAAGCATTTTGTTTCTTTCTTACCTACATAAGGTATTGGTACAATATTGTACATTGTACATGTAGGTATATTATATATACAAAAGCATTCTGTACATATTGTAGGTTGTACATGTGTATGTGCATTTACTGGCCTGTAAACCCTGTTGAATACATGTGTGTGCACACGTTGTTGGGTCGTATGAGCCGTTATCATCTACAACGGTCCTCCGCACAAGTAAAACTCACGTAGACCCCCCGAAGATCGACACAAACTGATCCTTGTGCAGAAACAAACTCTTAGGTTGGAGGCCATTGCTATTGGACACAACGACAAGGAGACAAGGAAGAAAGGTTTTCGGCGGAAGCTTGTCAGTGCCTCGGTGCATGGCACTGCCCAGGTCAAAGGCTCGCCGTGCCTGGCAGGAAACGGGGCTCATGCAGGATATCTGGTGGATCTTGCTGAGGGCAGCCCTACAAAATGCGCAATTCAACGTCAGTGAATCAGTTTAGCAGTTTTGCGATTTTTACATGAAACCAAACTTATGAAGTTCAGTGATCTTCAGTATCCATCCAAAATCTGGCCATTAGTGAACCGTCGAGGAGCTGCCCGTCACCCAGGTGCTCTGCATCCTGAAGCCCCCAGACAACTAGAGCAGGATGTATTCATCCCACCCTCCCTCCTAGGAACC